GAGAAGGATTTAATAAAAAGGAATTCCATAGTCAGACAGGAATTTTGAATCCAAAAGAGAATTCTGGAATCGCCCGTGCGGCGCTGGAGCACGTGGGGGGAAAAACGAATTAGATAGGGGGTTGGTACAGGATTGACAAAAATCAGAAGGGGATATTATAACGGATTTCCAGAGTTAGGGAAGAATTTCAGACTCCAAAGAGAATTCTGGCATTGCCCGAGCGGCGCCAGAGCCGCGGAGGGAAACGAATTAGGAAAGGATGTGATAAGGGATAAAAACGTTAGAAAGGGATTTGATACAGGATTTCCAAAGTTAGAAATGAATATCGGATTCCAGAGAGGGCGGATTGCCAGAGCGGCGCCAGGGCCAGTAGGGGAAAACGAATTAGAAAGGGATTGGTTGAAGGATTACAAGACTTTGACAAGGATTTGATACAGGATTCCCACAATTAGAAAACATATGATTCCTAATTCTGGAATTGCTAGAGCAGCGCCAGAGCCAGTGCGAGATAAACCAGTTAGAGAGGGATGCGATACAGGATTAAAAGAGTTAGAAAAGGATTTGATAAAAGGATTCCCGGAGTTAGAAAGGAATTCCCAATGCCAGGAAGAAATCTGGAAACGCCTGTGCGACGCCAGAGCCAGTAGGGCCCAGGAAGCCTTCGATCCTCATATTGCCCAAAGACGGCCCCATTTCTTCTTAACTCTCGGAATTCCCATGCAGGGCCTTTCCTAATTCGGCTTTCAGCAGGTGGCAGCCCCAATGCAGTTGCCTCCATCGCGCATTCCCCAACCACCCTCCTTGTCTAAACCAGAAATGACCCCCAAAACAGCGGCCGCCTGTCGCCACAATTCCGTGTTAACTCCCGAAATTCCAACACAATGCCTGTCCAAACTCGACGTTCCCCCCCAACATAGGACAGTTCCAATGCAATGCCCTCCCCCGCGCGATCCCCCAACCCCCCATGCCCCCCCTTCAAAAAGCAACAATTCCTTCTTAACCCTTGGAAGCCAAATACAATGCCCAACTGGTGACAATTGCCCCTCCCGCTCCAAAAGCCACAACTTCCTCTTAACTCTCGGAATACAAATACAATGCCTTTTTTCCTAACTCGACTTTCAGCAGGCGGCAGCCCCAACGCAGCTGCCTCCATCAAGCGTTCCCAAGCCACCCTCCTTGTTTAAACCAGAGATGACCCCCAAAACAACGGCCGCCTGTCGCAACAATTCCTTGTTAACTCTCGGAAACCCAACAGAATGGTTGTCCTTACCCGACGTTTCCTCCCAACTGAGGACAATTCCAATAAAATGCCCTCCCCCGCGCGATCCCCCCACCTCCCTTGCCCCCCTCTAACCCCACAATTCCTTCTTAACTTTTGGAAACTCAATGCAATACCCCAACTGATGTCAACCGCCACACACACACCACAACCACCACCACCACCACCACCACCACCACCACCACCCACCCACCCACCCACCCGCCCACCCAGAAGCCACAACTTCTTCTCAACTCTCGGAATACAAATACAACGCATTTCCGAACATGGCTGCCAGCAGGTGGCAGCCCAAATGCAGTTGCCTCCATCGCGCATTCCCAAGCAACCCCCCTTGTCTAAACCAGAGGCGACACCCAAAACAGGGGGGCGCCGATCGCCGCAATTCCTTCTTAAACCTCGGACTCCCAACACAATGTTTGTCCTAACTCGACGTTTTCTCCAAATGAGGACACTTCCAATGCAATGCCCCCCGCGCGATCCCCCCACCCCCTTGCCGCCCCCCTCCAAATGCCACAATTCTTCTTTAACTCTTGGAAGCCAAATACAATGCCCCAACTGCTGGCAAGTGCCCCTCCTGCTCCAAAAGCCACAATTTCTTCTTAACTCTCGGAATACCAATACAATGCCTTGCCTAACTCGACTCGACAGGTGGCAGCCCAAATTGCAGTTTGCCTCCATCGCGCATTCACAAGCCACCCTCTTTGTCGAAACCAGAGGTGGTCCTCAAGACAGGGGCCGCCTATCGCCACACTTCCTGCTTATCTCACGGAATCCCAACGGAATGTTTGTCCTGACTCGACGCCTCCTCCCAATTGAGGGCAGTTCCAATGCAATGCCCTCCCCCGAGGGGCGCTTGGGGTCGCCACAGTTCCGCCAAACATTTATTGTAACATAACGCGAGTTATGTTTGTGGGTGGGTGGGTGGGTGAAAGACGAGAATAACATGCGTTAGGTTTTCCGAACAAAAAAATCTCTCACCGCTGTCCCCACCACCACCGTCCCACCACCACTGTCCCACTGTCCCCACTGTTCCCACCACTGTCCCCACTGTCCCCTCCAGTGCCCCCACCACTGTCCCCCTGTCCCCACCACTGTTCCCACCACGGTCCCACTGCCCCCACTGTCCCCACCACTGTCCCACAGTCCCCACTGTCCCCGCCGCTGTCCCACTGATCCCACCACTGTCCCACTGTCCCCACCACTGTGCCCGCTGCACCACTGTCCCATTGCCCCACCACCGTCCTCACCACCGCCCTCACCACTGTCCCCACCACCACTGTCCCCACCACTGTCCCACTGTCCCCACTGTCCCCACCAGTGCCCCACTGTCCCCACACCACTGTTCCCACCACCACCGTCCCCACCACTGTCTCACTGTCCCCACTGTCCCCACTACTGTCCCACTGTCCCCACTGTTCCCACAATTGTCCCCGCTGTCCCCACCGTCCCCACCAGTGCACCCACCAATGTCTCACTGTCCACACTGTCCCCACCACGGTCCCGCTCTCCTCATTGTCTCCGCTGTCCACACCACTGTCCCACTGTCCCCGCCACTGTCCTACTGTCCCACTGTCCCCACCGCTGTCCCGCTGTGCTGTCCCACTGTCCCCACTGTCCCCGCCACTGTCCCCCTGTCCCCACTGTCCCTACCACTGTCCCCTCTGTGCCACTGTCCAATTGTCCCACCACCGTCCTCACCACCGCCCTCACCACTGTCCCCACCATTACCGTCCCCACCGCTGCCCCCCTGTCCCCAGTGCCGCCACCACTGTCCCACTGTCCCCTGACCACTGTCCCCACCATTACCGTCCTCACCACTGTCCCACAGTCCTCACTGTCCCCACCACTGTCCCACTGTCCCCATACCACTGTCCCCACTACCGTCCCCACCACTGTCCCACAGTCCCCACCACTGTCCCAGTCCCAAGGAGCGGGAATCGTTTGCTGGCGGCGAGGGGGGGGGGGTTCGAACCAGTAGTGACCCCCCCCCTTTTCATAATGGACTGGAGGGGGGGAGGGGGGGTTCGAACTGGCAGTGACACCCCTCCGGTTTTCGAAGGGGGGGGATGGGTCCCCCAGTGACCCCCTCCGGTTTTCCGCCAGCAATGATAGAACGCGCAGCTCTTTCTCATCATCAGACTCAGCGGCATCAGCATCAGCATCAGCATCAGCATCAGCATCACCATCACCCTCACCATCAGCATCATCATCCTCATCCTCCTCCTCCTCCTCATCATCATCATCATTATCAGCAGCATCATCATCATCATCATCAACACCACCAGCATCATCATCATCAGCATCATCATTACCATCATCAGCATCACCATCATCAGCATCATCAGCATTAGCATCAGCACCAGCACCAGCACCAGCATTATCATCATCATCATCATCATCATCAGCATCATCACCATCATCAGCATCATCATCAGCATCATCATCAGCATCATCATCATGAACATCAGCATCGTCGTCCTCATCATTATTATCATTAACATGACTATCAGCATCCGCATCATCATGAGCAGCATCACCATCACCATCACCATCATCAGCATCATCATCACCATCATCATCAGCATCATCAACATCAGCATCATCATCAGCATCAGCACCAGCACCAGCATCATCATCATCATCATCATCATTATCATCATCCCCATCGTTCCCCTCCTCCCCCTCCTCCTCATCCTCCTTCTTTTCCTTCCACTTTCCACCCTCACCCGTCCTCTACTCCTCCTCCTCCTCTTCCTCCTCCTCCTCCTCCTTCTCTTTTTCTCACGAACAGCTCCTCGCTGTGGCATACCGAGACTTGTCCGTAGAGCGGACCAGGCATGTCGCCTGAGGCTTCTTCACCATGTATGATCCTGCAGCTTGACATGTGGAACTGTTTCACTGATGGAAGGCGGGAGGTTTTCAAAATGTGGCTTTGGCTTGAGCGCCGCGCGCATTCGTCATAAAAGTCAGAATCTGCTGCAAGGATTGAGGAAAGGTTGTCTTCAAAATGCCGCTGTCGCCTGTGCGCCGCAAACTGTAAAGTCTGCATCAGCCTTACAGATGGAGAGCTGTTCATGTTCGATGTTTGGCTCTCGCCTTGGCGCTACGCACATTTTGTCTTAAAATGTTGTAATCGTTTCAAGGGTTTCGTATGGCTGAAGTCCCAGGAACGGTGTGCTGGCGCGATTTAGGATTGCCAGGACGAAGGGGTCACGTTGACTCGACGTGTTCAAATCCGAGGAACGGCGTCCTGGCACGATTTAGGACTGTCAGGACACACCAATCACATTGACCCGTGGCGTTTGAGTCCCAGGGATTGCGTTTTGGCGCGATTGAGGATTCTCAGACGTTTGTCTTCTAATGGGCCACTTCCCACAATGAGCATGAATTCTTGTAGGGGCCTATGAAGAGGGAACTTGAAGGCAGGGTGTATCCATCGTGGGTGCGTCTTGGGTTAACACTGGTCCTCCTCCTATGATCTTGTGGTCCTCTAGCGCAGCAGCCCAGCTCCCGATGGCCGCACTACACGCTAGAAAGGTGGCAAGAGGAGCGAAAGGGTAGATGAAAAGGGCAGCCCGCCAGAGAAGGAAAATGAGACCTGGCTACCGCAGCCTCTTCCTCTTCGTTCTTATGCTACCCCCCTCCCTCCCTCGTCCCTCCGCCTCCTCCCCCCCCTCCCTGGCCTCTTCCTCCTCATCCCGCGGCTGCAGGCTCGAGGAGCCTCCGTCGCGCCAATAAGCGTGTTGGAAAGGTACCTTTCCCGCTCGGGCAGGCGGTCGAGCAGGCTGCGGAGCCTCTCGTGGTCGGGCCCGCGCGACGCCCGCGCCGGCGCCGCGCTGCCTCTGCTGTAGGGCCTGGCGGGACCCAGACAGCCCTGCGTTGTGAAAAGCTGCGGGCTCGAGGCTCTGGGTGGGTGATCGTCCAGGCTAACCACTGGGGGGGAGGTACCAGCCGATAGCCAAAACTTCTCGCACTGGGCAGCCCCAAGTATGTCCGCGCGCACCAACACTGCGTACCCCTGCGGACCTGCGCGGCCGACACGGTCAGGTTTCTCGGGGGGGGGGGCGGGTCGGGCCCGATAACCCGGGTTATCGCCCGACCCTAAAATAACATTTATATGTTCGTCTGCTCCGGGAGGCTTTCTGACCGCCGGGTGCGTTCCAGCAGCTGCGCCTCGCCGAGAGCGTTCCAAATGTGCCCGAAAATTGTCCCAACCGGCCGCCGGCAACCTGAGCCACGTATGACTCGAAAGCCAGACCTCCTTGCGCTGCGACAAAAAAGTCATGGCGGATGGCTTTGAACGGTCTTTTCAGCCTCCACCGGGCCCCGGGACCGTCAAAAACAACCTGGGTAAAAAGCCCCAGCGTTAAGTCGGGCCTGTCCCTCTGCAGGAGGAATATTCAAAAACAGTAAAAGATATTCTTGGGACGACTTTTTAACAATTTTGGGGTATTTTGGGGGGTATTTCTAATTTTTCGTCGAAAAGCTCCCTGTAGGGGGACACGCCACTCACCCCTGTTTTGAAATTTGTGTGTATTTTTTAGGGTATTTCTAACTTTTCGTCGAAAATCCCCCTGTAGGGGGACACGCCCGGCTTAACCCCAGCGCCCTGGGGAGGAGCAGGGCGCAACGCGGCGGTCGCGGCTCGAGGATCGAGGCGCCTCGGTCCCTTCATGGGGCCTCCGCGGGCCTCCCGGGAGCCTCGCGTCGCACGCCCGAGCCCCCCTCGAAATGCTGGCCAGCCTGGGAGGGAGCCGGGCTTCCCAGACGTCGGGCGTCTCGAAAAAATCGGGACGGAGGTTTTTCGTGGCTTTCGGCCTCTCGAGGCCCTCGCCGGGCCTCGGGACCGCCAAAAAACGACGCGGGACGAAAAACCGGTCCCGGGGAAGTGGTCGGGAGGTCGGGGGCCCGTGTCTCGAAAGAATCGAGACGTCGGGTGTCTGGGGTGTGCTCAGACATCCAGTGACGTCTCGAGCAAGGTCAAGACGGATCTGTCACCAAGAGGGCGCTTCTCTTTGGCCTCGGAAGAACTTGCCCCCCCCTCCCCCCACCCTCTCCGCCGCCGCTTGAAGAGCAGTGCCGCACCGAAGGAAGACGTGCGAAGGAGTCTGGGCTTGCGTGAAGGCCAGGTTCCCTTTCGGGCCTCGCCACGCCCCCCCCCCCCATCCCCCCTCCATGCAGGCAGACCTGTCAGATTCCGGCCTCAAAGCTCCCGCGCCGCGAGGGCGCCTCTGGGCTCTGCGGGGCCCTCGGAGACCTCCCGCGCGGGGGGGCCCTCGTGGGGAGAGCGAGCTCCCGGGCCAGCGCAGGGCAGAGGCGCACGACCTCGGAGGCCAGGGAGGAGCCCCAAAGACCTCTGCGAGGAGGCGCGCCGCGGGTTCGTGCCGCGCCGCCTGCGGCGTTGGCTCTTGACACCGCGGGGATCGTTCGACCTGGAACGACCGGCCGTTTCTCGGGAGCGGCCAAGAGGGGGGTGTCCAAGAGGGGGGGTGCAAATCATGAGTGGCGGCATGTGCGCGGCCCAGCGGGGGGACCAGGGACGTAATGAAACAAGAAGAGGCGCCATGAAATCTAGGGAAATATCATGGCCCCCGCCATGATATCCCCCCCCCCCTAGTCATCCCCCCCCTCTTTTCGGCCCCCGAGTTTCCAAAACGTCGGAGCGTTCAGCATCGACCGGTTCTGGGTCGCCGGCGCCGCCCAGCGTTGCCCGCACCCGCTCGCTCACGAGGCGGGCCTGCAAAAGACCGGTGCGATGGGCCAGGGACGCGCCCGGTGCTATAGATTTAGGTCGGGCATGCCCTCCTACAGCCGGGCTCTGGAAGGAAAGTTAACACAATAGTCAAAAAGCATCAAACATAGTATCAAAGTCTTCCCCGTACTATTTTTTGGCTCTCCTCGAATATTCCTCCTGTGGAGGTACATGCCCGACTTGAGGCTAGATGAAGTGTGGCATGAACAGCTTTTCCAAAACGTCCCATCTCCCAGGGGGGGCCTCCTCGAGCGGCTTGCAACGAGCGAGGTCGCGAAGCGGGTAAGAGGAGCAAGGGGCATAGGAAGAAGCAGGGCCAAAAGCTACCCCAGGCCCCCGTGGGCGACTTCAAAACACCTGCGCACACGCAGGAAACTCTGGGCATCTGAACATAGAGCCCCCAGGCGATGGGAGAAACACCCGGGATAATCACCTGGTCTGGGAAAAGGGAGCGCAGACCTCCGTCGTCGTCGCGTCTTCTCGACCATTGAGGAGCCCGCATCTGGGCCCCGGGTCCGCCGACATAACATGCTTGCTGGAGGAAGGCCCGCGGTGGGAACGGGTCGGAGATCTCCGATGCAGCTGTTCTGGTGTTCCCAACGGCTGCTTTTCTCGATGGGCGCTGGAACCAACACTCAACATGATCAGGACATCGGAGGTTTTTGCGGTAGCTCCGAGGCACTGAGAGGGGGGGAAGGAGAGGAAGCAAAAACAGGGAGGGGGAGGGATGGGAGGGGTGGAGGACACGGAGGAGGAGGAGGGGGGGAGGAAAGAGGAAAAAGGGGGGGGGGAGGAGGGGAGGAGGGGAGGAAGAGTTGGAAGATGAGGGGAAGGGCGACTCCCCGAAGGCCTGAAGAGCCACTGGAGCGCGCTGGTGCCGTGGCCGCCCGCCCACCCGGAGGGCTGAATGGGCCCATGAGCAGGCACGCGGGCCGCCCCCAAGCCAAGAGCTACGTTGCTCCCATCGTTCTCAAGGACCACATCCCAAAAATACGTTCGAGCACCCAGAAAAGTATTGAAACAGTGTCTACCCGACACGCTAGCAAAGTGTCGAACGAGTATCGCATCCCAGGGCCCGACACGTGATTGGCGCTCGAAGCTCGCTCTGGCTGGAACACCATAAACCACAAGGCGAGCCCGGCCCACCAACGATCGACACGGCGGGATCCCGTCGTGACCGCGCGGGCCGCCCCCAGGCCACGGGCCGAGCCGAGCCCAGCAACGACCGACACGGCAGGATCGTGTCGTGACCACGCGGGCCGCCCACAGGCCAAGAGACGAGCCAAGCCCAGCAACGACCGACGGGACAAGATCGCGTCGCGACGACCCTCGCGCTGCTTTCTGACACCGATTCCCGACTGAGAAGGAGGACGACGGAAACAAGCAATGAGGGAGAAGCCTCCTTCACCCTTCCCCTCCACCGCCTCGTCCTCCTCCTCATCTTCCTCATCGCACCCCCTCTTCGCCCCCTCCTCCCCCCCCGCCCCCCCCCCGGGGGGGGGGGGGGGGCGCCGCGCCTTCCAAGAAACAGGGAGGGGACTTCTGGGCGGGGTGCCGATCAATGTTCAACGGCCGCGGTTTCCCGCCAGCGCGGGTCCCCCGATGGGGGCGGGCCCTTTGCCCATCCCCTCCAAAAGGAGGGGTGGGGGGGGGGGCGGCGCGCCCTTTCTTCAAAGGCGCGGGGGGGGGGCGTCCAAGAGTGCGAACGGAGGTTCACGACAAATAAGTCGAACCTGCCGCGGGGTCCGTAGGTAAAACAAGATAGGAAGAACATATGAAACTCTTTTGCCCGTGCGCTCGCGTGAACAGGGGCGCTCAAATGTCCAATACCTGAGCCGAGATGATAGCAGGATTGGTGGATAGAAAAGGGAGATGAGCGGTCTTCGCGCGCACGCCCCGCCACGAATTCCGCCCGCTCCACGTTGGCCTCGGGCCCTCGGGGGGCAGAGGCGGGACTCGGGATCAAAGGTTGGGGGACCACTCGAAACACCCCTCCATCCCCTGCGACCTCCAAACGAGGCCCACCTCGGCTAGGAGAACAAGAAAGGACCAACCACGCCGCACAGGGTACTTGGGGGAGTCTACCCGCCTTTAGCGGGTCGAGGGTGCGCCCCCCCGAAAAAACGCTTCGGCACGCCTCGACGACCCCCCGTCACCACAGGCGACGGGGTGGGAGAGCAAGAGAAAAAAGAAAATACTGTATTGCGTCAAATGCACTACTGAAGTAAATGAAGCAGGTGTTTCCGCCGGCGCGCAAAGTCGCGCGCGCAGGTATGCGCTCAAAGTGCATATTAGGTCCAAATCTCAGGGGCAATCAAATATGGGAGCGCGTAGCATCCCAAAACGTGAATTCAGATGTGCATGTGCGATCGAAGCTGCGACGGCAACGGATCAAACTAAAGGCAACGTAGCGATTCATTCACAAGGCACTCCAGGCCCTCACAAATCGAGCCGCGCGTGCAGGGCCTCGACCCCGCCTGCTGCCGCCGTCGGTGGGAGCGGCGCGGCGCGAGGCTGCCCCCCGCGGGCGGCTGCGACGGGCCCAGGCCCGACGCACCGCCGCTTGGGCGGCCTCGCGCCACGCCTGCGCGCAGCAGACAGGGCGGAGGGTGGGAGAAAGAACGCGCGCCAGGGAGGCACCCGCGCGCGCGCGCGCGGGGCGCGCGCGCGGCGCCTCCTCCAAATGCAAATCGCCTGCGAAGCGCACGCGCCGCGGGGGCAGCGACCCCCCCCCGCGGCGACGCAACCCCGGCGCTAGCAAATCACCTGCGAAGCGCACGCGCCGCGGGGCAGCGACCCCCCCCCCCGCGACGCGCAACCCTGGCGCGCGACGGCGCGATGGCCCGCGCCTGCGCAGCGAGGCCGCGGTCGCGTCGCACTGCCGCGCGCGCGACCTACGCGCAACCGTGGCCGATTTGTGCCCGCCCACAACGGTGAACGTCCGCGTCTGCGAGCGGACTTGCCGCCGTGGGCCTACCACAAATCGAGCCGCGCGCGCAGGGCCTCGACCCCGCCTGCTGCCGCCGTCGGTGGGAGCGGCGCGG